TTGGAACCAAGATCTGAAGAATGACTAGCGAGATGGAGGTGGGTAAAGAATGTTCCTATCAGAGGGAACTGTAAAGACCTGAAGGAGGTGAGAGACTGTTACCAAACGCAGTGGGTTCGCCACTTGTACTCTCGTTAAGAATAACTAAGAGTCAAGCGGATTTAAAGCAAGGCTAGTTTATTACTCGCAGCAAGTAAGAAGAGGCGGGGGGATCCTCCCCGAAAGCACTCTCGCCCCAAACAAAGGGCTAGGTTACAGTTTTATATTATGCGGGAAAGGGAAAGTCATACATATACATTAACTTTATATATATTCAAAAAGGGGTCAGGGAAGGATTCTGACTCGGAAGCGGTTGACAGACTTCTCGCTTCGGAAATGGGCTCCGTCACCGCTGGATGACGTATGTCCGGTGATTTTGGTCCTAGGCATCCCTTATGAGATGAGGCCATCCGACGGTCGACCTGGTCTCTTACCGCGCATGCCCAGGATTCTAGTTCTAATTGGCTGATCTGAAAGACAGCTACAAGCGATCAGATGAGGAGGAAGCAAACAACGTTTGCACCATTCTTCTAGAAGAAAATTTTAGCTGGCTTAACTTGTCGTTTAAGGCCTTTTCTGTCCCTGACTGGTCTCAAGACCACAGAATTGAAAATTCACTATGTTTAGAGTGGAGAAAGTGAGGGCATGTGTATGAGAAATGAGGCTAGAGGGTAAGTAGGGACCAGATCCTGCAAAATCTTAAACCCAGGTTGAGGAGCATGGACTTTACCTAAAGGCAATGGGGAACCACTAAATAGTGTAACAACAGGAGTGTCTCAGTCAGATTCACACTTTAGAAAGTTTTCTCTGGCCACAGTTTGAAGAATGGACTGCAGGGATGGTAAGACTGGAGATAAAGGAGACAAGTTAGATCAAGTCCGGAAGAGAGGTCAGACTTAGGACTTTCTCTGGTAGAGAAACCATAAGCAGTAAAGAACAATGAAGCTATTTTTAAAGGTATAGCCAGGAGGAAAACTGGAGAATATAGTGTAAGGAAACCAAGAGAAAAGAAAGTTCATGTAATTTATAGAGTATTTGAAGAATTTTTACAGATTGTTGGTTGTTACAGATATGCTTTGAAAATCACTCCTTTATGCAAGGTTTCTCCTCCTATTCCTAAGTAACGGAAGGATTAAAAACTCTCTAGTTCTGCTTATGGAGCCCTGGTAGCACAATGGTTAGGAGCTTGGCTGCTAACCAAAACGTTGACAGTTCGAATCTACCAGTTGCTTCTTGGAAACTCTATGGGGCAGTTCCACTGTGTCCTATAGGGTTGCTGTGAGTCAGAAGCGACTCAACAGCAACGGGTTTGGTTTTTGGTAGTTCTGCTTATATAGTATTGTATATCTTATTAGGCATGTGTATTTTACAGCAAATTTGCTGAACATTTTGTGTTCTTTATGTGTTGATTTTTTACTGACTTTAGTTCAAAAGTAGATTTCCATGCTAAAGTATGTTTTCAACCTCATCCATATGCTTATCTCTGCTAAAATATGCAAAATGGAGGCAAACTACTTTGGTTGAAAATAAAAATCCTTTCTCAGCTTTGGAGCCCTGGTGCACAGTGGTTAAGAGCTCAGGCTGCTAAGCAAAAGGTCAGCGGTTTGAATCTACCAGCCACTCCTTAGAAACCCTATGGGGCAGTTCTGCTCTGTCCTGTAGGGTTGCTCTGAGTTGGAACCAACTCAATGGCAACGGTTTTTTGGTTTCTCAGCTTTATAGAAGCTGGAAGTACAAATATTATTTAGTGTGCTTTGAAGAGGATTTAAAATATACATGTGTCATGGATTGAATTATGTCCCCCAAAAAATGTGTGTATCAATTTAACTGGGCCATGATTCCGAGTATTGTGTGGTTGTCCCCCATTTTGTCATTGTAATTTATATTAAAGAAGATTAGGGTGGGATTGTAACACCCTTACTAAAATCACATCCCTGATCCAACGTAAAGGGAGTTTCCCTGGGGTGTGGCCTGCACCACCTTTTACCTTACAAGAGATAAAAGGAAAGGGAAGTAAGCAGAGAGTTGGGGACCTCATACCACCAAAAAGGCAGTGCCGGGAGCAGAGCATGTCCTTTGGACCCAAGGTTCCTGAGCAGAGAAGCTCCTAGTCCGGGGACCTTCCTCGAGAGCCGACAGAGCCTTCTCCTGAGCTGATGCCCTGAATTTGGAGTTCTAGCCTACTAGACTGTGTGAAAATTAATTTCACTTTGTTAAAGCCATCCACTTGTGTTATTTCTGTTATAGCAGCACTAAACAACTAAGACAACATGTAACTTATTTGAGCTTCAGCATTTTTTGTTTTAGCTTCATTACTTGAAAATTTACTTTTAAGAACTTTATTGAATACTTTAGTGTTATCCTAGTAGTTTGAGTGGAAGGTTAACTTCAGGTTTATTGCACTTTATTGTACAGTTGTTTAAGGATGACTTTGCAAAGCCTTAAAAACTTTGAGTTGAGTGTCAGGAACATAAAAACGCAAATTAGGAATTTAGTGCTTTTGGTCATGAATGGGCTCATTGTCTCAAATGTATTCTGAAAACTATAGAAGTAAATTAAGTAGCGGATATTTTAAAAAGTTACTAAGCTAGGCACTGCCTTATCATTGAGGTGCTTTAAAATGAAAACATTTAAGGATTATGGAAAGAAGGCTTATTTTAAGTTTATGAAAACTATGAGGTTAAATTATATTACTGACATAATGTGAATTTTAAGAAAAACAATCTTCCATCAAGTTAATAAGATACTGAGTGTTGTTTCACAAGTCATGGATTTCTCTCACATAGCCCATATCATTTTGTGCTGCACTTAGCTGCCAGACCACTATCATAATGACAGTTCTCTTGAGAATTAATGGATCCATTTATACCACCTTAGGTTAGGCTCCTCTGTTAGTAGTAGTTTAGGCATAGGAAGGCCTTATGTCTTTTCAGGTTTTATAGCTGTTTATATAAAGGACATGAGTTTTTTGTTTTGTTTTTTTGGAAGAACTTGTAAAGGAGCCCTGGCAGACAATTGGTAGGGTTTTGAGTGAGATGTAATAGTGTCAGCACTGAAGCTGTCTGCAAGAGGCCATCTGTGACGATATGTATGTTGTCCCTGCAACTGTTTGAAAACCTAGGTAATCAAAGATACCTATTATATTTACTACTTAGCCTATTACTAGTTCCCCTCCTCCCAAATACTACTACTGTAATATTTCTTTTCTAGGAATTTACACAATATTTTGTAACAGGGGAATGACACCAATGAGTAATATTCTTTCAGATAAGTTCCAAGAATACAGTAAACACAACGCTCCTGGACCTCTGTGCCATTTGTATGTGTTTCAGACATTCAAACACATTCATTCATTTTTTTTTTTTTTTCTCGTATTTTGAGCGGTGTCTTTGGTTCCTTTTTCCTTACGGAGAGCTATTTATTATTTTCCCTGAAGTATAAACTGCTGAAAAACTGCCAAGAGTTACAACAAGGCAACATCCAAGGGAACTATTCTGAAAAAGTAGATGCGCTTGATGATCACACTTGACACAGTGTTGAAAATCGTTTCCTTTGCTGGAATCCCCCCACCCAGCTTTGCATTTGAATCTTGCTTTTCCTTGGAGGTTATGTGTAAACCCCATTGCGCCAGTGTAGTATGATTAAGAATGTTGCTGATGTAACTTGTATGAACTCTCTACTTGTGAACCCCTTTAAAATTAACCTGCCTGCTTTGCGCTTGGTGAGCAGTCTTGGCAGCAGCAGCCCCGACTGACTCCATTTCCTTGTATAATGAAATAAAGGTGCCTTTCCTGTTCTCCCACCTTGGTTTATCGTTTATTGGCCAATACGAGCCATCCCGAGTAAGAATCTGGCATTTCCACCTGATAACAAACTTGCAAATTAAAAAAAATATTTTTTGGTTGGTCTCTTCTATTTTGTGATACATTTCTCTTTCAGAGAAAAAATTGTCTGGTTTTAATATAAATATGAATAAAAGGATCACTAATATTTAAAACTAGAAACCATTGATTTAGGTATTAAAAAAATAAACTGGAAAAATAAAGGTCACTTATTCAATGAAATGAACAGACTCATGGAGTTATTTTTTAAAATAAGTAAATAAAAATGAGACTGAAGAATGTTTTTTTATTCTAAGTGCTCTTCAAAATAATATACAAATGAAAAGGACAAGACAAGAGGTTTTATATAACGTTAGGAAATGAGTGAAATAGAATGAAGGCAACTCATCTGTTTTGTACCAGCAGGAAATTACAAGTTGAGAATGTATTTGCATTAGTACCTTTAAATTTTAACAGGTTGTGAAGTAATGATTTCTTTAAACAAATCTTTTTTTTTTTTTTTAAGAAAACATACTAGCTAAAATGAATTATAAGTTGTTTTTGCAGATTGCCTGTGGCTGTTTAAATTTACCATCCATTATGGTTTTATACTGTTTCTTGAAGCTTACCATATTGCCAGTTAGTAACTAAATGACACTTCTGTGCCGGTTTCTTTCTCATCAGTAAATGAGAGTGGTAGTAGCACTTAAACTGTTATTGTCAAAATTAAATGAGATAATATATAGCCAGTCCTTGCTTTGTATAGTTTCCGTGTGCATGAATTTCAGTTACAATGGTTTAGTCAAATAGAATGTGTTATAGATATCTTTGCTGCTGTAATAGAAATACCACCAGTGGTGGCTTTAACAAACAGAAATTTATTTTCACACGGTTTAGGAGGCTAAAAATCTGAATTCAGGGTGCCAGCTCCAGGGGAAGCCTTTCTCTCTCTGTTGACTCTGGGGGAAGGTCCTCATCTCTTTTGAGCTTCTGCTCCTGGGTGATCTTCATGTGGCTTGGCATCTGTCTTCTGCTCTGCTTGCTTGTTTAATCTCTTTTATATCTCGAAAGAGATTGACTCAAGATACATCCTCCATAAATCCTGCCTCATTGACATAACAAAGACAACCCATTCCCAAATTGGATATAATCACAGGCATAGAGGTTAGGATTTACAACACATTCTTGGGAAACACGACTCAATCCATAAAACCATGGTTTTAGATAAATAACACCAGTCCCCAAACAGCAGGACTCAAATTTCAGGTACAATTATGTGAATAATTGCATAAAGTACAAACTTTAGTGCCAGCATTTCAGTGTATAAATTACTACATAAATAGCAGATGTGCATCATGATTGTGTCACTTCATTCAAAGCCTGCCAGTGATTGGTGACTGTGTATCTGTTATTCACTTTATACCCAAACAGCAAACCATGTGGTTGTGTTGCCTTCTTGTCTTGCAGTTATAAACCTGGGTGACACTTTACAAAAATGGATGATCAAAAGGAAATGGATGAACAAAAATGAAAAATAGTAACATTGGAAGTAGTGACATTTTAAATCAAACCTAAATGGAATTATAGAAGATATGGCTAACTGTAGGAATGCTGACACTGTGCTGTTTGAGAGATTCTAGATATGCAGTCAGAAGAATTTAGTGAGATTATACTGGAGCAGGGTGGGCCCTAATCCAATAGGATTGGTGTCCTTGGAAGAAGAGAAGAGACACAGAGAAACACAGAGGGAAGAATGCCACGTGATAAGGGAAGCAGAGAGTGGAGTGCTGCATCCTCAAGGGACGTCAAGGAATGCTGGCCACATCAGAATCTGGGAAAAGACAAAAGAAAGATTTTACTCAGTTTCAGAGGGAGCATGACCCTTCTGACACCTTGAGTTTGGATCACTAGCCTTCAGAACTGTGAGAGAATGCGCTTCTGTTTTTAAAGCCACCTCATGTGTGGTACTTTGTTACAGCAACCCTAGGAAACTAGATGCCAAGACAATTAAATGGGGGAAAGAGTAGTCTTTTCAATAAATGGTTCTGAGACAACTGGATAGCCATGTACAAAGGAATGAAGTTGAACCTGTACTCCACACCACATACAAAAATTAACTCAAAATGGATAAAAGACTTATAGGTAAGAGCTAAAACTATATATATAACTTTACAAGAAAACACAGGCGTAAATCTTTGTGACTTTCGATTATGCACCTTAGTTTCTTAAATACAATACCAAAAGCACGAGCAACGAAAGAAAAAATAAATTAGACTTCATCAAAATTAAAAAAATTGTGCTTCTAAGTACACCATGAACAAAAGGTAACCCACAGAATGAGAGAAAATATTTATCAGTCATATATCTGATAAGAGGCTTGTATCTTACAATGCAGCAATAAAAAAAAAACTCAATTAAAAATAGGGCAAAATATTTTAATAGACATTTCTCCAAAGAAGATACACAGATAGCCAATAAGCACATGAAATGATGCTTGACATCATTAATCATCAGGGAAATACAATTCAAAACTATAATGAGATACCACTTCACACCCACTAGGATAACTATAATTAAAAAGACAGAGTAACAAGTGTGGAGAAACTGGAACCCTCATACATTGCTGGTGGGATTGTAAACAGTGCAGCCCCTTTAGAAAACAATCTGGTAGTTCCTTAAAAGGTTAAACATAGGGTTACTATATGATGGAGCCCTAGTGGCATAGTGGTTAAGAGTTTGGCTGCTAACCAAAAGGTCAGTAGTTTGAATCCATCAGCTGCTCCTTGGAAACTGTGGGGCACTTCTACTCTGTCCTATAGGGTCGCTATGAATTGGAATTGACTCGACACCAATGGGTTTGTTTTTCTTTTATCTTTTTAGTGTACAGGGGATATTATTCAGCCATAAAAAGGAATGAATTAATGATATGTGCTACAACGTGAATGAACCTTGAAAACAGTATGCTAAAAGATCACATTTCCATGTATATAAAATGTCCAGAATAGGCAAACCATAGAGATAGAAAGTAGATCTATGGTTCTTAGGGGCTGCAGTGAGGGTAGAATGGGGAATGACTGCTAATGGCTGCAGGGTTTCTTTTTTGGAGTGATGAGATGTTCTAAAATTAGATAGTGGTAATGGTTGCACAACTCTGTAGATATGCTGAAAACCACTGAATTGTACACTTTAAAAGAGTTAATTTTATGGTATGTGAATTATATCTCAATAAATGAATAGACAGTACAATGAATACTGAATGTGTCCCATTCAGTTAAGCAATAGAACATTACTGTTAAGACCTTTGACGTCATTGTTCTTTCCCCACATAGCCACTTGACTCACTCCCTCACTTTGTTCAGAACTCTGCCCAAATGTCACCTCCTCAGAGAGGCCTTCCCTGAATATCCCATCTGCCTGTCACTCTCTTTCCCTCTTACCTTGCCCTTTTTTTTTTTTAAACAACACTTACTGCAGCATGACATACATTTATTTGTTACTATCAGTCTCTTTCTTTTTCCTACCCTACTAGAATGTGAGTCTGTACGGGCAGGGATTTTATCTGTTTCCTTCACTGCTGTATATCTAGTATATAGGCAGTGACTGTCAAGAAGTTGGTGCTTATTAAATGTTGGTTCAGTAAATAAGTAAATGCTATATTCCTAGAGTTCAAGCACTGTCTTCTCTTTTACTATTTAGTTTTCATGTACTTAGTCCCTATTTTAAATTTGTTTGATACTGTGATTGTTAAGGTTCTGTATCAACTTGGCTGGCCCATGATTCTCAGTGGTTTGGCAATTATGGTGTAGTTTGGCAGTCATATGATGATGTGATCACTTCCATGATGAGACTTGATATAATGTGATCACCTGCTATGAGTAGCCAATCAGTTGAAAGGGAGTTTCTTGGGGGTGTGGCTTGCATCTGATATAAGTGGACATTCTGGCAAGGCTCGTGGGCTTTTGCTCGCTCTGGATCCTACAGCTGGCTCCTGTTTGTCTGACCTCTGGTTCTTGGGACTTGAGCTAGCAGCTTACCTGCAATCTTGCCTGCCAATCTCGGGATTCATAGATCTCCAAAGCCTGTGAGCAAGAGCCCTGCTGTCTGACCTGCCAATCTTGGGTTCACCAGCTGCTGCATCTACATGAGTCAGGAGAAGCCTCTATCCTGATCCATGGACTTGGGACATTCCAGCCTCTGGAATCGCGGGAGCCATTTCCTTGATATAAGTTTCTCTCTATATATATTTATATGGTTTACTGGTTTTGCTTCTCTAGAGAGCCCAGCCTAAGACAGATACTTACTGTCTTTATTTTGGCACCAAGTTCAACTTTTATGTTAATGTTTATATATCTTGTCTCCCCAATGAGACAAGGACTATACCTTTTTTGTTGCCTGGAAAGTCAGCGTATAGAAAGAATAAGCAAATACTAATTAGATTAAATTTAAATAATAAACCGATTGTTATTGCAACTTTTTAATTTATATGGTGTTCAGTTTTAAGTCTTTTAGTTCATTTAACAAGTTTGCTCATTCATTCAGTGAATACCTATTGAATGCCTGCTATGTCATTGCTGGTGTCAGATGGATCTTGGCTGAAGGCAGAGAATGCCAGAAAGATGTGTTTACCTGTGTTTCATTAACTATGCAAACGCATTTGACTGTGTAGATTATAACAAATTATGGATAACATTGTGAAGAATGGGAATTCCAGAACACTTAATTGTGCTCATGAGGAACCTGTACATAGACAAAAGGCAGTTGTTCGAACAGAACAAGGGGATTCTGTGTGGTTTAAAATCAGGAAAGGTATACGTCAGGGTTGTATCCTTTCACTCTACTTATTGAATTTGTATGCTGAGCAAATAGTCCAAGAAGCTGGACTATATGAAGAAGAATGCGGCATCAGGATTGGAGAAGGACTCTTAACAGCCTGTGATATGCAGATGACACAACCTCACTTGCTGAAAGTGAAGAGGACTTGAAGCACTTACTGATGAAAATCAGAGATCACAGCCTTCGGTATGGATTATATCTCAACATCAAAAAAACAAATCCTCTCAACTAGACCAGTAAGCAACATCATGATAAATGGAGAAAATTTTGAAGTTATCCAGGATTTCATTTTACTTAGATCCACAATCAACGTCCGTGGAAGCAGCAGTCAAGAAATCAAATGACGTATTGCATCGGGCAAATCTGCTGCAAAAGACCTCTTTAAAGTGTTAAAAAGCGAAGATGTCACTTCGAGGACTAAGATACGCCTAAACCAAGCCATGGTATTTTTCAATCACCTCATATGCTTGCAAAAGCTGGAAACGAATAAAGAAGACCAAAGAAGAATTGATGCATTCGAATTATGGTATTGGTGAAGAATATTGAATATACCACGGGCTGCCAGAAGAATGAACAAATATGTCTTGGAAGAAGTACAGCCAGAATGCTTTTGTAAACGGCATGGGGGCAGTGTCTGACCTCTAACTTCACAAGAGGGAAAGAGAATCAAGATTAGCAGCCCAAGGCTGATTGCTATGAGGCAGAGGTCAGACATGCCTCCTCTCTCCACCTTTACCAATTCTGACACCAACCGTCCCTCCCATGACACTCTACACTTCTCTGCTGTGTTCAATAATTCATTGCGATGTCCACACAGAACTCACAGACAATACTCACGATTATGGAGTTTATTAGGGAAGTAACAGTTACAATTCAGGTTCAGGAACACTCAGGATATAGTTCTTCCATCAGGACAGCCTCTTCCCAGCTGTGCTCACAGGTACACCTCTCCCTGGCCTTCAGCCTCTGCCCGAAGGTACTCAGCTTTCTCTCTCTGTGGGTTGGTAAGCCCACCACGCCATCTCTGCTGCAGCTTTTCTGTTTCTGCTTCTTGAGCTCTCCATCTCCTGGTTCTAGGAGCTTCTCAGCGCGGGGATCCCACGTCCAAAGGGTGTACTGGCTCCTGGCTGTTCTTCCTTGGTGATGGTGGGATTCTCCTTTCCCACCTCTGGGATGGCTCATTTAAAGCCCAGTGGGATGGCAAAACTGACCAGTCACGTTGGTGGGCCGCAATTTCCCTATCATATAGTCCCACCCAATCACTTGGGTGGGAGTTACAAGACCATGACTAGAAAGGCTACACACAAAAGTGATTTATCACCCCGCAATCCTCCTTAGAGACTAGGATGGTGAGATTTTGTCTTACCTACTTTGAACATGTTATCAGGATGGACCAGGCCCTGGAGAAGGACATCATGCTTGGTAAAATAGAGGGTTGGCAAAAAAGAGGAAGACCCTAAGTGAGATGGATGAACACAGTGGCTGCAACAATGGGCTCAAACATAGTGATGATTGTGAAGATGACGCAGGACCGGGCAGTGTTTTGTTCTGTTGTGCATGGGCTCATTGTGAGTCAGAACAGACTTGATGGCACCTAACAACAACAACAACAAGGGGAATAGGGAGTTCAGGGTAGGGGTGGGGGCTGCTATTTTATATGTTATCAGGGTGTCTTAGTTTTCTAGTGCTGCTACAGCAGAAATACCACAAGTGGATGGCTTTAAAAAAGAGAAATTTATTCTCACAATCTAGGAGGCTAGAAGTAGAAATTCAGGGTGCCGGCTGTAGGGGAAGGCTTTCTCTCTGTCAGACCTGGGGAAAGGTCCTTGTCATCAATCTTCCCTGGTCAAGGAGCTTCTCAGTGTAGGGACCCTGTGTCCAAAGGATGCGCTATTCTCCTGGCTCTTGTTTTTGGGGGTATGAGGTCCCCATGTCTCTCTGCTTGCTTCTCACTTTCACATCTCAAAAGAGATTAATTTAAGATAAAACCTGATCTTGTAGATTGAGTCCTGCCTCATTAACATAACTGCTTCTAATCTTGCCTCATTAACATCATATAGATAGGATTTACAACACATAAGAAAATCACATCAGATGACAAAATGGTGGACAATCACACAATGCTGGGAATCATCGCCTAGCCAAGTTGACACATATATTTGGGGGATACAATTCAATCCATAACACAGAGGAAGTCCTCTCTGGTTAGGTGATATTTGGTCAAGAAGTAAAGGAGAAAGCCCTGTGGATTTCTGGGAGAATAGCATTCCAGGTAGAAGGAACAACAAGTACAAAGACCCCAAAATAGA